TCTGTAAAGTAGAAAAAATCTATGAATATATATATATATAAGTAAGAGGGATTTGATCTTCAGATTTTCAGAGGTGTCTCTTCCAGTTTGCCAGCCACTGACCCTTCCATTTATCAACTCTGTGCTAGTTGGTTTTGTTGACTTTTCCAAACCTGATAATACAAAGATGTCACGTGAGTTCTAGGATGGGTCCCTTTCTTTATCCAAATCGTGTTGGGCTTATTTTGTTTGGAGCCCAAGAGGCGATTTTCAAGGCCCGAGTCTATTAGTCTGGTTTGGGCTAGGCCTTTCTGGATCTTGGGTTTCCTCTTGTTGGGCTGGGCGTGCTAATTTAGGCCCAAACAAAAGAATGACGTGGTCCCAAGTCATTGAGTTTAGTGACACCTGGATATATGTGTAGGTGCTTATAGGAGAACAAGTACACTGAATGCGATCAATTGCATGAGTTATAGAGTGAAAGTCTTTACTCACATGTCAAACTAGAAATCATAGATTGCAATGGTGCAAACTAATCCTTAGACTTGTGACTATGTTGTTTGTCGTTGAGGACACTATACAGTTGTGTTGTAGAAGACATGACCTAAAGGTGTTTATCAAGACTCTCAATAAATTCATGGAGACAAATGAATGTATAACAAGGAATCTCTATAAACTAGGTTTTAGAATGAACAGGAACTTTGAGTTTGAATTTATTTTAAAGAGCTCGAAGTCGGAGAAGAAGAAGACGATGAGACCACTGATGATGACTAGTTAAAAAAAAACTAGCTAATAACTGAACACTTTCCTACGAAGTCTAGTTCGTGGTAGGTAGACGTGGTAGACGTGGGTTAACGGAAGAAACTAGCGCGCACAAATTAGTGGCCAATTCATTTAAGTCTGAAACCGTTCCAAAAACTATTCAGACTTAGGGAGCATTGTTTGGGCTCAATTTGGCACACCTAGCCCAAAATCACAAAGCCCATGCCAATTTTGGGTAGCCACCAACATTCCTTTGAAATTGAGCCAAGATTACACACTTAGCCCAACAATGAAGGACCCAGTCCAGGATCTATCCAAACATAAAAACTTAGGCCTCGAAAAAACAGAGAAATGAAGAAATCAGCCCATGACCCCCGGAATCAGAGGCAGACCCACATGACTATATGAAATAAACTTTGAAAAGTCAATATTTTCAACTGGGTTGATAAAGGGTTAACAAAAGCAGGCAGCTAGGAGGAGACATCTCTGAATCTCTGCCACCAGAAGATCAAAATCCTTTTATATATTCAGAAAAATTGTTTCTACTCCAGAGAGAGCACCACCTTTTCAAGGGATACACAGGCTATATTCTCAAAAAAAGATAAGCAAGAAAATAGGGAGTTGTTCAAAACTGGAAAATTAAACTAACCATCACGGTTTGAGCTCTCACAAGGGGCAGTTGGAATTAAAGAGGTGGTTCTCTTTCAAAAAACAGGGAAGTGAATGTCTTAAGAACTGACCATTAAGGGCTTATCTGCCAGAAATGATAAAACCCCATTTTTTCCTTGCATTTAAAAATGAAAGATCTTTTGAGAATTCTGTCTCCCATTATTAAAGAAAGAAACCCTACTCCAAAGCATTTCTTATAAATATAGAAAAGGTTGAACAGAGCAAAACACACTCAATCAAACAATCAATCAAACAATCAAAAATCAACTAAAGGCAAAAACTCAAAATGATCACTTGATCACTGAGAACCTTCAAAACAAACTGGAGCAACCAAAAGCTCATTTGAGCCACAAAAGAAGCTAGCTATAGATCAGAACTTCCAAGTTCAGACTTAGAGAAATAAGTATTCAAAACGAGACTTTTCTCGTTACAAATTTAGTTCAGCAATAGCCAAGACAAGCAGAGTTTGAGTTTTCACAAATATGAAAACCTCAACAAATTTATGGAGAGCCCTGATCAAGCAGAACATGTACTATAGTGCAGTTCCAGCTCAGTGAGTCCTCAAATCCAGTCATTTATGCCCCTTCAGACTGAAGAGACTGCAGTTCTGCCAGTTCAAAAGCCTCCCAAGGCTTGAAGTAGATTAAAGCTATGCCAAAATTGAACTTTGGTATCGATTTACAGCTGAAGCTAAGCAGTTGAAGTTGTTGACAGTTCAGTCCAGCACAGACATACCCAGTCCAACCCGGATCAGAAGCTTCTATCCAAGCAGAAATGGAATTTCAGCCATCTTTTGTCTTTCTAGAGTTGATTTTTCCCTTTCTAGTTTTGTAAAAGGCAGTTCTGCCTAAAACAGTCCACTTTATTATCATTTATTCTGGCCAGAACTACCGATCTTGTATTGAGATAAATTGTGAAGTCCTCACCAGTTTGAGGCAAGAAAAAAACTTACTTGGGAGATATTCCTCACCCAAATTCACAATCGCTTGTTTAGAAATCAGTAACTTGGGGCGCAAGTTATCTGTTCCAAAAAAGTCTGCTATGATTTTTCATTGCTAGCAGTGGCATGCTCGCACACCAAAGAAAGTTGGCTTGTTGACCAGTTAATGGTTTTCAAGGCAATGAGGAATTTTGCCCTTCCATCACAGAAGTAAACACAAAACTGGTGAACAATGGCTTAAAGATATTTTGTGAGCATCAGGGGGAGCGTGTCATCAATAAGATCTTCACACACTGTACTATTTTTCCTTCGTCCAGGTTTTTGTCCCACTGGGTTTTTCATGGCAAGGTTTTAACAAGGCAGTGTCGCACGCGTGTCAGTGTTCGATGCATAGAATTTTATGTTACACATGGTTATGCACTCTTTTTTCCTTCGACTAGTTTTTGTCCCACTGGGTTTTACTGGCAAGGTTTTTAACAAGGCATACTCCATGCATGGTGAACATCCAAGGGGGAGTGTTGTAACCTCAAAGGTTATGGATACCCACCACAAGTCCATTGTGACTCCTCCATCATACCCATCATTATACCTATCATTATAGGGTTGTAGCCTATGCACTAAATACCATATTTATCATTGGTTATTATGTTTTGTAACCCACTACTTAAGGGTGGTAAATGGTGATGTATTTCATATGCCTATAAATAGTAGGCATTAAAGATGAATAAGATACTCGAGCAGTAAGCTATTAATAACTACTCTCACCTTTCATATACTTTCTCTATTTACTTTTACAGGGACTAGATTTTTTTATTTTTTTATTTTTTACCAAATGAGAAAAAGATATTATTAAATTGTAGGTTCCCAAAAAAAATTGTAAGATCAAATTCACATTGGCACAGAACTGTAGAGATTGTATGGGGATGAATCATATATTTGATGCGAAGGAAGTAAAATAATAGGAGTGCGATTCTCAGCAATTCGATATACATTTGAAATATCCTTTGCAAAGGATTTAATCAGTTTGCTATTGACTACAGAAACTTAATAGCATTCACAACTTTCCATTTCCACTTATAAATCACTATCATTTTATCATTGACATGTGGCCTTTCAGGTGCCAAGTACCAATAATTTCTGTATTTGAATTTGAAAGATTATCGGGGAGGGGAAAGGACATAGTAAGATTATTTGTACGCAACCCAGTCTCTTCTTAAGTACGTGTCTTTGACACTACTGCAAAAGAACCATATGCTGGCCCCTGAGACTTAAGCACTGTGGAAAATACATTCACAATTTTGAGCTTAAAACAATTAGCAAACGCGTGTTGGACTCCTACACACATCGAGCTTGCATGCATTGTACTATTCCATCTATCACGAACAAGTTTATGAGCCAGCAGATGGTGCTTAAATATGACTCAGCTACAAGTCAGAATTTAACATGAGAGCCACAGCAATCTTAGTGTCAAATTCCTAAACTACTTAAATATATTGTTTCCATAAACGACATGTGGGCCAATCACTCCTATTGGCATTCATGCAAAGTCAATACGCAGTCTTAAACGTATAGCAACACAGATCCAACATAGTAATTTGTTCTATCCTACGCCCACTTTGGTTTCAAGAACATTCTTATCAATTGTCTAATCCTAGCTAGAACTCATTCACCGAAAATATGATCAGCTCCTTATTCCATTCTGATTCTAGCATTCTGCTGTATCCAAAAACAACCAAACATTACATCAAAGCAATCATTGGCTTATCTGTGTATTACTTGGTGTTCATTTCTCTCAAGTCTCAACAAAACCAGAAAAGGCAAACCTGGGATCCTAATTTTTTATTATGGAAATTAGAGCATTAGTCTGGGCATTCACTGGATGTACTAAGTTTTAAATGACTTTCCAAAACATGCGACAAAGCACTCCTCTCCTAACACTAGTTTATACAAACGGCCCTATATATATGACAAAAGTATCATCAGAAGTTGACACATTAAATGCAAGCATAATATGCCTGTTGCCAAACAATAAAGCAAAACAAACTGCATCAACAATTTCTTTTATCTTCTTGCCCAAAAACACTCGCATTTCAAACAAAGACTTTGATCAGGAATGTCATAAAACTTCAATGTTTCGTAAGAACTCCAATCATACTCTCTAGTTTAAGGAGTCATAAATGCTATAACTCGTTTTTAATTGGTTCATTTCTATAAAATTAAAATAGCTAGCATTAATTAAAGGTTTAAAATACTCATAAAATAAAGCAGCATTAAATTATAAGGAGCCACTAGGAGTCCTTTCTCTTTCCTTAGATTTTGGAGCACCTAAAAATCTCCATATTTTAAGAGGTGAATAAGGAGCATGGTTGGAGTTGTATTTTTTCAATTCCTCTCTAAAATTTGTTTAAGGAGGTGATTTCGAGAGCCCATTGTCGAGCATCCATGAGCAATCAGGTCTCGCTCAATCTTTCTTTTTCTTTTTGATGCAGTACCCTCCACATTTTCGAGAAAAAAAAAATTTCAAGTTAAAAAAAGGTTAATTGGTCGCTGATGTACCAAATATGAGAAGTAAGGCTACTTTGGCATATGTAATGGTCACTAATTATAGTGACTAATTTAAATACAGGTAAGAAAAGTTAGTCATTAAAAATTAAAAAATAGGCACGAATCAATTTAGTGACTATGTAGTATTATTAGTCATTAAATTCACTATATTTTTCACCATTATTCCTTGTAGTTATGGTACTATAATATCAAGTTGCAGTAATCATTTCCCTGAACAATACTTTCACAATTCCTAATAAAAGGTGCCTATTCGCCCATAACTGCCTATTTCATGCGGCCTGTTAGCTATTTCTCCATTCTCCCACTTGGCTTCTTTCTGCAAAATCCAATTACTCTCGTCTCCTATGGGTTCATAATCCTCACAATCACTGAGTCATAATAATGAGAAACCTTGTTACACACAAAATGTCATAGAATTCCAATGCACAAATTATGGTATTGATGAAAACACAAGAAACTTGAAGAAATATACCGAGCAAAGCAGGAAAGAAGATAAAACATTTCACGGCTTTCCATATCCACAGAATGAACAGTTGAATGTATGGTCTTGATCATATCTCTTCCTGTTTCTCCAACAACAATTTGAAATGTGGTGATACGAATATGTTGAACCCTGAAACCTTCATTATTGCCAGTACTGACATGGCAAAAGTCCCGCTTTCCCAAATGAACCAAATAATCATCGCTACACCTCTCAAATGGCAATGGTGGATCCGCAATCTCCAAGCCTTCTAATATAAACAGTTGTCGTAGGGAATATGCAATACCACCATCATCACCTTTTTGCATCCTTAAGGAGAATGCTATAACACATTTCCCATATGAGGCATAGATAGTCGTGCCTACAACCACGGCCCTCCCTATGAAATGGGCATACTTAATAGTGGTATCAACTTTCACTCGATTCCATTGGTTTCTACTCAGATCAAAAGCAACGACATCGAATTGATTTTTTTCCCATCTAACCAATGAAAACAAAATAACACCATGACAAACAGCATAACCGGTGATAATCATACCCATGTGATAATCCTCACAACATGGAAGCGGCTCCCAAATGTTCTTATCAGGATCATACCTCCAGAAGGAAGTCCCCAAAACTGATGGATAGTAGGTTGGACTTGCAACACAGTAAATCTTGCCATACGCGGACACAACCATTGCTATAAATTCATTGGCTAGGTTAGGAGGAATGGATGAGCATCTTGAAAAAGAGTTCATGTCAACAATATACCCACTGTGTTTTGTAAGACAATATAATTTGGAGCGTTTGGAAATCCGTGCAGCATGACAGAAATTATCCTCATTGAACTTGGCAACAAGTCCAATTGTTGTGGGTTCATGAGAGACTCCTCTTCCATGTCTGAATTTCACTTCATAGATTGCAGTCTTCAACCCAAAAGAAACGACTAAATATACAGATCGGGCTTCCCCCTGATTTACCATCATTGATGCATGCTCACCCTCGATCTCCATGGGCAAGCTGGACAGAGGAGAGATAAATATAAAACAAGTCAAGTTAATATTTTCAAACAACTACCTACCTGGAGAGAATTAATTAATTAAGCAAGGTCAAAGCTACAATATCTACTTTAGTAAGCATATATACACTTCATAGGAATAAACACAAACAAAACAGTAAAAATGCCAGTAAGGTATCAATAAATAAACTTGTCCATTTTCCTACAAACTGTGAATGCAAGTGTAGGAGTAGATGTAGGAGTAGATCATCATCATTAAATATTAAAGAGTAACTGATACATGATAATTACATGCAAAGTTCAATTCATAGAATATATAATATACAAATCATCATAATTGTAAAATATAACATCTGATTCTACAGAAAATAACAGTCTGCAAGAAGACACCTCAAAGAAACAGATAGAGGCCCTCCAAATAGGAGTCGGTAATCTAATTCAAATTCAAGAATATGTAACACAGGTGAACTGAAAAGTAGCAAAGAGATTTTAAAAACCTGCAGCTATCAAATTTCAGAAGAGGTTTTATCACAAAAGGCGTAGTGTAACAATTCATTATATTTAGTATTTAAGTTTCCGATTTTGGGACTTATATTCTTCAAGAGTAGCATCATCAAGGTGGCAGGACAAGAAGAAGTAGAGATAATTTATCTAGTAGACGCTCAAGCTGGTAATTATTCCAAGCAAGAATCTTTGAAATAATTAAAGATGGATGCATCAACAATTTCACAGAGAAACAAAAATTAAGAAGATGAAATCAATGCACTAAGCCATGAATTGACCTTGGGTAAGGATGAAGGGCCCCATCGTTCGGGTTGGGAGTGCAGGTATTCACCGTGGCGCCAGTGACACTGGCGTGTTAGAGTTCTTAGTTTGTATATGTATCTTCCGATTTAGGAAGAGATGTATTTTCTGGAGATTTCAGCAAGAGAGAATGAAGAGAAAAATGAGGAAGGCACTGTTCTATTGAATTCTTACAAAAACTGCAGCTTACATAGTGTGACTGACGTAGAGAGAAATGTGATTCTCTTCTAACAGAATTACAACTGTCATCCTATTAGGTGCTTACACGTGTCATACTAGATCTAAGCTAGAGAGTCCACCTAGACTATGATCTAATGGCTCTCGTTACATCATTTAGAATAGACATAACAAGAAATAGAAAATTACTTCTGCTCTAACAAATCAGGCAGAACTGAACAGTCAGGCAGAACT